ATAATATTTGGGCCTTACATGTCTCGGTCTTTCTGATTAGTTGTAGATTATGGTGTTTTTGTTATTAGAGACAAAACAGAGCCAGCGAAAATTTAGAAGGAATATGTGGAGGAGTTTGATGACCGTCTTGAGACATGGAAATCTACTCATTGTAAGAATTTTATCTTGTTCGTCGATATCCCTGTTCTTTCTATTCAAGGTCTTCTTCCCAAATTTCGGAATGCCAAACTTGCTTGGGATTTTTTGTCAAATCAATACAATTGCTCTAGTGATGCCGCTCTCCAATTTTAACTGGAGTCCACGTTGTATCAGTTGTATCAATAGCGTGGTCAATTCATTGCTGAGTTTTACTCTCAGATTAATAGTATCTGGGATCAACTCTCTCATGTTGCTCCATCTTTTTCTGATTATAAATTATCGAACTCTTCTCAAAGTATCAAAATCCTAGAAGTTCATCCATTTTATGATGCATATTTGAGATGACTTTGAGAATACTAGAGCCTCGTTGCTTCATCGCTATCCACTGCAGACTATTGATGTCACTCTTATGAGCTTATTTTTTAGGAGACATGCCATAAGACTCATCTAGTTCATTCTACTGATCTAATTATGACTGCTGCACATAGTTCAAATTTTACTGTTCTTGCTGCTACTTCTTCGAAGTCGCATCGTTTCATTGGTCAATGTCACTATTGCAAGGAAGAAGGTCATTGAATTTCTGATTGTGCGAAGAAAAAAGCTAAAGATGCGAGAGATGCTCAAAATGATAAAGCACATGTCCCCAAGATTATTATTGTTGTATCTATTAGTTCATCAATTTCAGTGTCTTCCTCTACACCCCGCTTTTCATCTCTTGGAATATTTCCAAAAGACTCTATATTTCTAAAGATCATATTCCACAATTTAAAGAATAAAAATTTTTTAAGTACTCCAAAAATCTCTTTATTTTAAGTACTCCAAGTGATTATAAAGTTCACAAGGAATGTTTCACTCAAAATCATCCATTCGGCATGAATTTCGTGAAGAATTACTTGGAGATCTTTCACTTGACTATTACTATTTTGGAGTCCACCATTTTATAATTCAAGAATCGATCAACAATGAATTTCTTGGCCCTGACATCCTCAATCTTATATTTCTGGTCCAATGACTCCCAGTCTCTTTAGCAGTTTTCATAGCACTATACACATTATTTAGTGAATCTGCTAAATTGTTCATGATGTAGTTTTGGCACAAAAAATCAGAATGTTTCCACGCATCAGGTGCACTGACAACTTGAACATCTCCCTTACCCTCTTGGAAATTTGGAGCACTTTTAGTCAAGAATCTCGCAAGATTCAAGGTGGTTGGATAAAACAACATTTTCTGCTGCCATCTCTTGAAATTCAAATCCGATTTTTCGTCATAATTAATCGGAACAGTAGCCACAGTTTGGTTCACAACATGACTTGGCATTTTAGCCACGGTCTGAGCCATAACAGAACTAGGCATTGCAGCCATATCAGAGTCCACAGCCACAGTTAGAGTAGCCACAGCCTGGGACACATCCATGTTGGTGGAATCGGTTGCTATTTCTAAAATGAAACAAAAATTAGTTTCTAAAATCAACAATATAAGAAACTAAATTTTTTTTTTCCAATTTGTTTTAAGTTTGTTGTTAGTATATTTAAGTGGATAAATACCGACTTAACGAGTAAATATTGACAAATAGCGTATTTGTAGCACTGACAACCTATTTGCAGGATAGATACTGTATATGTAAGATAGATACAATATTTGCAAGACAGATACCGTATATGCAACTTAGTGGATCAATTTACACATACCGTATATGCAAGCAATAGAGACGCCGTATTCACATGTAACAAATACCTTATTAGCAACTTGCAATAAAATAACAGAACAAATAATTTAAATTGCAGTAAAAGAAATTTCAAACCAAGGCCTGTGCGAACACAGTTTCCTTATAGGTTCGTCCCCTCACCGTACGTACTTGAGGTTTAATTTGAGCGTTTGCTTCTCAAGATACAATGGTAAAGTAGTAGAATCTGAGTACCAAAGATTTTACTCCGGCAAACTGATTTAGTACCAGAACAATATCACCACCAAAAAAATTGAAGTCAGAAAATTTGACAGAGATACAGTACTGTAAACTATGAAGATGCAGTATGCAATGGTCAATCCGGTCCGACATTCATGTGCACAGGTCGCACTCGCATACGATTTCAAGGTCTGAAGCCTATTTCGGTCAGTGATTTGCACCTCCCTGTGCCCGCACATGGAGAGAGCTTCTATGCTACACATGATCACACCCTTCTAAAGTGTAATCTTATATAAAATGATTTTTGTTTTCTTCATTTTCCTATGTGAGACAACCATTAATTGGTTTTCTTCCAACACATAGATTTCTTTCAATTGGCACACTTTGAGCTCCAATTTCTCATTCATCCGAACATCATTTTTGACAAGTAAATATATAATTTTGATGTTCTCATGGAGGAGAACACAAATCAACTTTCATATTCCAAAATGAAATAATGGGTCCCACTCAAATTTAGCTACAAAGTCAGCCATAAACCCATTTTTCCAACATATATATTACCTCAATCCGTTTTATTTCCCAACAGTTATGAAGGCTTGTTCTGAGCCACCTCCCTCAGAATTCACACGGACTGGAGTAAAGGAAATTCATGTCAAGGAGAACGCAACTACGAGTATCCAAGATTAGCTTATATGAATCTAAACAAGCACAAAATGTATACAACACTTCATCTAGCTTTTTATTGTCATCTTCAAACTTGAACTGCATTGTTAGACTCGGTCTAGAATTCATGAATTTTAGTCATGTTGGTCTTTACTTTGTGGGATCAATCTAACTGTCCA